GTTAACAGATTAATGCGCTTAGGGTTATAAAGTGTGAAACCCCGCAACTGTGAGATAATTAATTGTAGCCGTTATTTGTAGATTGTTAAATAAACCAATTAACCATCTCTACGGCGTCTTCGGTAACGTAAACACGTTACATTGGTGTCAGAAGTGGGATCAGTAACGAAAACACGTTACAATATATTTACTTGTTCATTCTCATAAGTTCACTAGTCCTGTGGGAAATATAAATTGTCAAACTGACATAATATTTTAAGAAAACAGCTAAAATAGTGAATGCTGTCAGTGAATGCTTTCAGTCATTCTAACTTAACCTTTATCGGACGAACATCATCATATGATGTCGTTAAAAGTTAGGGCAGCTGGCCGAACGTCATCATATGATGTCGCGGATTCCACGCGTGTAAGGTTTTTTTTTAAAATTAAATTAAAAATATAAATTGTTGTTCTATTTACATGATTTTTGGTCACCACCTTTATAAGGAGACAGCCTTCCTTCCTGCATGATCTAATGTAATCTAGCGACGTCATATGACGTTAAAAGTAAGGACAAATTGCCGAACGACATCATATGATGTCGCGCATTCCAAGCGTGTAAAGATTTTTTTTAAATTAAATTTAAAATATAAATTGTTCTATTTACATGATTTTTGGTCACTACCTTTATAAGGTGACAGCCTTCCCTCCTGCGTGATCTAATGTAATCTACCGACGTCATGGCCGAATGACCTCATATGATTTCGCGCATTGCACGCGTGTAAAGATTTTTTTTAAATTAAATTTAAAATTAAATTTTTGCTCTACTTACGTGATATATGTTCACCATCTTCATGAGGAAACAGCCTTCCCTCCTGCATCATCTATGGTAATGTGGCCTTCGTATGGTACTGCCGAAAACATTCCGAAATGCAGAGTCTGACGTTGCACCTCACGCACTTCGTACGAACGCTAGACCGCTTCCCACGCAAAGAACACACATGACACCTCAGTTGTGATTTAGAGGAAGCAGGCCAGTGATGTCGAGCTGCAGTGATATTTATCCCCGCAGCTACACCGGAATAATTATTCACACCTCTCCAGCCACACTGGTCTGGCGGTCCCCAAGTTGCCGACGAATGTGATGACCTTTCGTTGGCGGAATCAGAACTCCAACTTTCCTCGCCACTCTCAGAATCGGTTGAATAGCAGTCCGAATCTGTCATTGAACAGCTGTTTCTCAATTTCAGCATCTTCCATATGACGTCGTCATGTGGCCATGGTGAACTATACGGCTCTCTAGCAGTGAATCTCTGTGCTTAGACCATGATAAGAAGCCATAAAAAACTGAGCCCACACATACAAAAATCTCATTCACGTCTTGGCTGAACCCAATATCTGCTTCAAACATGCTACATGATGTCATGGGTGGCTAACCTTATATTGCGATGTTTCGAAATCGTTACAAACACAATGGTTTGACTGCAATGAATGAACAAATGACCGATCTGGCAACACCATATTCCGAGAATTAACTCCTGTGTTTATCTAACACATTACGCAGTGAGTGATTTCAGACGCATACAGTCGTGCATAGCGACATGTCCCATACGATAAATAAGCTACGAGAGACATCATTGAATGTGAAGTCGCCACAAGGACTTACACTGCTAAAACGCATGGTGCAGAAAATGTATGAATTTTGGGAAATTTTATTTTGGGAATCAGTGTAAAAAATGTTTACAGATATTAAAATCTGTAAATTAGAATCTCTGATTCTATATTCTTTCTACATTAAAGGATACGTTCATTTCGTTCGTTTATCATAAAAAATGTAGAAATCACACCATTTTTAGAAACATGCTTACAATTTCATTGCTCTAGAAGGGTGGGCATTTAAATAAACTTCGTCCAGCTGCCCCTACCGGAAATTAAATGGCCCGTCCGATAAAGGTTAATTAAAAGAATTTAAACAAATTTTGAATGAACTCAACCTATTTTGTGAAATTTTTTCCGAAAATTATTTGACGATTTCACGTTATTATAAGGAATTACAGACAATATATGAAAGAATTCGTCTTATTTAATGGTTTTCTGCCAAATTATTGACGATTTCCACATTATATAAGGGAAAGTTAAGTCAATTTTGATTAATGTTAAGTTAAATTTAACGAATATAAACCAGGTTTTGAAAGATTTCAACGTAATTTATGAAATTTTGACCAAGAATTATTCCAGATTTCAAGTTAACATAAAGAATTTCAACAAATTTTCAAAGATTGGACTTTAATTTTTGGATTTCTATCCGAATTTTTGACGATATTTAATTATTAATTAATTTTAATCAAATTTTGAAGGATTTCATGATAATTTAAGTAATTCTAAACTAATTTTGACGTTCTTCAACCTAATTCATATAATTTTAACCAAAAATTCTTTCTCGATTTCACCTTAATATAAATAATATCAATTATTTTGTGAAAGATTTCACACTAATTTTGGGAATTCTAGCAGACTTTTTGACGATTTACATAATATTTCTGGAAATTTTGAACGATTCGAAGTTAATTTAATGAATTTTAATTGAATTTTGAACGAATTCAACGAAATGTATTTAATGTTAACCTAAAATTCTTTGACATTTTCAAGTTAAAATAAATAATTTCAATAAATTTATAAAAGATTTTACTCTATATTAAGGAATTACTTTAAGTTTCTGATAATTACTATATTATTTAATGAATTTTAATAAAATGTTCAGTCAATCTAAATTAATTAAAAAATTTAAACAAATTATGAACGAACTATACCTATTTTATGAAATTTTTTCCGAATGTTCTTCGACGATTTCACGTTAATATAAGGAATTACAGAAAATATGTGGAAGATTTCATCTTATTAAATGGTGTCTGTCCAAATTGTTGTCGATTTCTACATTATATTAATGAAATTTAAGTTAAATTTGAGTGATGTTAAGTTAAATTTAACGATTATAAACCAGGTATTGAACGATTTCAACGTAATTTATGAATATTGACAAAATATTTTTTCAGATTTCAAGTTAATATTAAGAATTTCAATAAATTTGTGAAAGATTTCACTGTCTTTGGACGAATCTGTGATTCCTTGGAGAGGAAGGCTTCGTATTCAAACATATAATCCTGGGAAGCTCACAAAGTATGGCCTACTTGTTCGTGTTGTCACGGAAAGCACTTCAGGCTATATAGGAAATTTAGAAATTTATTCTGCTGAAGGCAAGAAATTGCAAGAAACTATTGTTTCTGTTTTGGGTCCCTATCTCGATCAAAATTATCACTTGTATCAAGATAATTATTACAACAGTGTGGCAACTGCAGAATACCTACTTTCAAGGAAAGTACGTATTTGTGTACTATTAGGGTGAACAGAGGCCTCCCTCCAGATCTGAAAGAGGAATGTAAATGCCTGAAACGTGGCGACACCGCATTCAGGAGGAAGGGGGACATTCTTCTTCAGTCCTGGAGGGATATTCGTGTTGTGAATATGGTTTCCACTATTCACAATTCGAGCATGGTCGATGTTCAAAGACGACACGGGCAAGTAAAGAAGCC